AAGAAAAATTCATTTTGACTAGGCCATTCCTACAAAAAATATTTTTAGGATTATTTGTACTTTACACAAAGTATGACTAGAGGATCAGAAGGGTTTCCAAAGGATCAACCCACCGACATAGATCAAGTATTCTATAATTCGCATGTATTTCAAGGTCATCAAACTCGTGAGTCAGTAATCCACTCTGCTCTCCCAGCTCCTTTTACTTCAACTACTTAAGGTGATCTATTTCTAGCATCATCAATTATGTATTTTATATTATCGAACATTAAACAAATGGAAAATTCTTAAAATTTTGACGGTTTGATAAAGAAAGTAATCAGCATAGAATTTGAATTAGTTTCTTACTTTCGTTATAAAAGAAATTAAATTTTACCGAAAGTTCTAATCACGATTCGATCCGTTTGGGATGTATTTGCTAAAATGTTAAACGTCTGGGGTGTGGTTGACAAAAGATCAAAGCCTACGGGAGGTGGATGCATATTACCCTATTTATTTATTACTGCATAGTACATACTATTATATTTTAAAAACTTTAGGCCTGTTTTGTTGACAATAAGATAAGCCAAGATAAGATTAAATAGTTTAAAAAAACTCAATTATTTTATTGTCAATCAAACAGGCCTAAAGCTCGCAACATCCAACAAAAAAAAACTCACTAAAAGACAAGATAAACCAAGATAAACGAGATAAACAATAATTATATAATTTTTGAAGGTCGACCAGACAATTTATTAGAATTATCAAACATAAAATTAAGTTCAATTATTTAGTTAATTATAATTTATCTTGGCAACCAAACGGGACCGAGGACGACTCTATGTCACGTAATGTAACGTGTATAAAAATCATTAGTAGGTCGGTAGTAGACGGCCTAGAAACTAGATCCCGTAACTTTGTGTGGGTAGTTGTCCGTTGACTATCCTCAAAAAAAAAAAAAAAGTTGTCCGTTGACCGTTTAGTTCAGTCAACACAGCTCCCACTGTCAATAGTTAAATATTTTTATTTCAATTGTGGCCCCGTTTAAATTAATTAATTTACTATTGAGTACCAATAGGTGAAGAAATTTAGATACCTTTTAATACTAATAATGAAATAGTAAATTATTTTTTTGGTAAAATTCAGTTTGCATTGCGGTCCTTGTATTAAATACCATCTCTTCAAATTAAATATTCAATTATATCATCGATTCAATGACATATCTATGTATATTTTTGTACCCTTATTCCCAATTTTCATTTTATATTTATTTAAAAAATGTGAATATCATTTAGGTAGTCTTTAAAACCGAAAAAAGTGGTTCAAAGTTATTTTAAATTACGAAAAAGTCTTTTATGTTTGGATAATTATAACTGCCCGTCAACTATTATACGTCCACTCTTGCAGTGTCGAATTTAGTGGAATCTTCTAAATTATGTTATTTTTTCTCCAGTTTGTACTCGTTTTATCCCATTCGAGCTCCACATTTTGAAACAAGATGATAATAAGATGTGTCTATTAACTTATAAATACCCGATTGTAGTGTATCAAAAACTGCATTTTTGCACAAAATGTGTACAAGCTAGAAAATATTTCACGGAATTTAGAGGGTTGTGTTGAATTTGATACCATTAAGGTAGACGGACGTATAAGAATGTTCATAGTTGATGGGTGATTTTAATTATCCAAATATGAGGGGAGTTTTCGTAATTTGACGTTACCTCAGGGTGTAGCCGTAATTTATCCTACTATTAAACTATTGTAGCTTTAAAATATGAATGGCTTTTGGCCCTTTGTAAGATGTAACTAAACATGTTGGTAAGAAGTTGTTATGGGTGTAGTGTACTAATGAAATAATATCTTAGGTTAAACAAACGTGAAGATGGAGGAGCTATGGAGTTTGGCAAGAAACACTTTACGCACGTTTCAATTTGTACATTTGTTTCTGTTAGAGGAATAAAAACATTAATAAAAAATCACGCATTGCCCATGTTTGCCTTATTTCACGAAATTATATATATATATATATATATATATATATATATATATATATATATATATATGAGCCG